ATAAATAGAATTAAAAAGGGAACTATGGCATTTAAATAGGATTTCATAGAAACAAGTCTGGACCGCAACTCTGATGTTCTTCTCGATAGGCGTAGGCTTGGGTAGATCCAATGCAGGTGTTGTTATGGGCAGGTCAAAATAATACGGCTTGGTTTTGGGGGCTTAGAAATGCACCTGTGGGCTAGTTTTTCATACTGGCTTCAAATTTGGACGTATTTTTGCTACTGGAATTATTAGACGTGTAAATACTCAAGTTCAAAATTCTATGTCACATTGTTCTGCTTTTTGTCTAGTTTAGAGATGAATACATCTTCAACTCCAAACATGGCAAAATAATGATATAACGTAACTCATGAAACCCGTACGATTTGCATCGTAGGCCTATGCCTTAGTTGTACACTTGCTGAGGATATATTAATTTTAAAAATTAAGGTCGGCAACAAAAAATTATTCAAGACAGTTAGTCCTAAAATAAAACTTATTTTAAATCAAATTAACAGACACTTTCTGGTAAACATAAAAAGTAAGTCGGAGCAAATTATCTACCTAAAGAATATAACCAATAACCGTACCAATATGACAGCATCAGACGAATTTGGTGTAAGCGGTAAAAATTTAACACAAATGCTTTGGTTCTAAACAAGGCCTCTTCACTCTTCAGGCTTACGGTTTTTGAGAGTCGACAGGGCTGAGCAAAAAAGGTTGTTTAGTCACGGCTTGTCTGGACAGCCCTGATATACGACCATCACCGTGGGCTGGCCTCTACAAGTGTAGCAAAGGCATAATGAATTCTGCTGGAGAAATTTGCTTAATGGAGGAGGATCGCTATCATTTCATATCCGTGACGGCCAAAAACAAGTTTAAATTTGTTGATAAACTTGTTGGCTTATCAGATAAAAGATAGATTTTTCAACACAGGACTGAACTAGAATATGTTGGAAAATGAATAATTATTCATTCAGGAATTATTTATTTATTCGAATTAATGAGAGATTGATATGGTTACTTAAAATTCGGTGTACTGTAAATATTTACAGCCACTCGTAATGTTTTTGCATTAGCTTCACATTTCTTAACATTTGAATCCCTTAGAAGTGCAGGTATATTTCTGGAACGGCTTTCCTAAGTTGTTTCATATGGCTAGATTGAAGCTATAGGATGAGCCGGAATTGCAAACAATAACCCGTTCCTAGAACTAAAGTTGATCGATGACGATAAATTTCATGGTCTCCGTATGCGAGATGCCAGAACTTGCTTGAGAACATTCCGGAAAAAGGGCAATGAGTCAACATTACACGCATGTCAATGATCATAGCATGAAGCTTCAAACCTATTAGGTTTGTGACTCCGCACCGAGGTAGGCGAAAGCTCAGTCTATGCAAATCAGGAACCTGGGATTGTGGAGACTACAACGCTTGTAAAGTACCGATCTCGGGATAGAAAATCCATAGTGTGACTAAATTTTCACCGAAATTTAATATCATGAATATTTCTTAGTGTCCAATACCAAAAATTCGAAAGTCATTTCACAAATTTAAAAGAATATATCTATGTAAACGCAAATAACGACATCACTGCAACTTTCCTTTTTTTTCATTTAACTATAACCACTCAATTTTACCTCACGCACTAAAAAAAATGACCATCTTGGCTTGCTTTGGGTTGGATCGTAGACTCAAAACCCAGGTGCACCTAACCCAAAAAGCTGGAAAACCGCCTGACCGCGGGAGGCCCCGGGCACATACAGATGCTTCGGCCACCCGCCAACCATGGAAACTCTAACATCTTGATGAATCGATGCTTGTTTGTTTCTTTTGAAACACTGACACGGATGTTAAAAAATTATTGCTACAAAAGGAGACGTGAAACCACGGTACTTCAAGGCACATACACAGGTTATGAGGACTTGAAGAGAATTGATATTTATACGTTTTTAAATACTGGCGGATCCAGCAATGAAATTGATTCAAAACACCAGGTTTAACAAGTTTCCGACACGAGACAAGTTTCAAATTGCAATTATTGGAACGAAATTCAAAGTAATACTGAGCGGCATAAACGTACTAGCAGACCGCCAGAGTTGACTGGAAAAGCGTCAACTGGTTCCATAAGTCATTATTCTTAATCACGTAACGAAGGAGGAATGAGGAGTGGATGCTCGAGTTGTTTTTAGGAATTCGAAGTTCAGTCGAGCATGAGGTCGGCTGGCCGGCGAATGAGCAGAGATGGCGAGAAATGCCGTACCGAGACAAGATGACCACTTCTTATAGAGTGAACAGAGATTTACTTACTACGTAGAATGACATGGATGAAGAAATAAAATGTTAGCAACATGTAGAGGTTTCAAGGCTGTTGATTTGAAGCATTTCAATGAAGTTATCATTTTTCGTGATGTGAAGATTCACGAAAAATCGATTCACGATTTTTTTCTCATCTAAAAATTAGATGAGAATAATGCATAATTAATTTCAAATTTGCAAATTTTTACTAGGTAAGCCACATCCATCAAACAAATAAATTAGAATTCATTATGTGAATACCTAATTGACTTTTTTGAGATGCTACATCCCGCCTACGGGTACTCGACGTAAAGGGCTCACTCTTGACAGGAATGGTAGTGACAGTTCGTAACGCTTCAGCTTGATTAAAGAACAAAAAAGGTAATTGAAAAGTGACATTTTGATGGATGATCTCACCATACATTCGAGAACTATGCAAAGTATGGCAGCTCTGAAGATCCATTCAGAGCATGGCTTTCAGGTAAAAAATGAAAAAGGGGGCAAAAAAGAGCCACAGACGAAAACGAAGCAGCCACGTCGCTTCAAGCGGTGTATATTATAATTATTATTAGCACTGAGCATTACATAGGTAAGTATTAAACGGGGCAGCTACATTCTAATTCCAACGCATGAACAAAACAAAAATATTTCGACATAGCTCAGGTACATTACAAAAGCAATAGCTAGCGTCGACCACCACACGCGAAGTAGAGAAATTCCGTGGGTTAATAATTACTCCAGCGACGGCCGCTTGAGGCTTGGCAGAGGTGTGAGAGAGGAACAAAAGATGGCCATTTAAGGGATTACCTAAGCTAACACTTCACCGAACCATAACTCAATGGAAAGAATGGATAAACAGCCTTCACTTTTACCAAGGACAGCCCAAAGAATTTTGCCATTTAGAGAGACCTAAGAAAACTAAGTTTTGGTCTACACTCTACAGTATAGCTCAGCAGGCTTTGCAGTTCGCTTGAAAGCGAATCTGGGATAATCCCAAAAGGTTTAAATTGATCCATGTCTAAGAAGTTCGCTTCATTCACTGTAATTTACTTTACCAACATAGTTTACTTTTCAAGAGTAAACAATTTGTTCATTGACTAACTTTTGAACGGGTTTAAATACCTCGAAAATAAATGGAATTCTTTTTTATACGATAAGGTTAATTTGGATCTCAATTGATTCAGTCACCAGTGAGTGAGAAAATTATAAAATACTGCGCTTATACAATCGAGATTTCCTCTATTCTGCAGGATGTGATGTTGTGATCACATGCACGCATGCCAAAGTTTAGGGAACTTAACACGTGTGTAGCTAACGAGAAAGATTGTTAAGTTAGGAAATTCAGAAAACTGAATAAGAGCTTGCCAATTAATTAATACCAAAGTATGAATATATAAGAGCTCGTCAATTAATTAATACCAAAGTATGAATATATTCAGACAATTATTGGTAACAACTGTGCTAGTGAGAAATGGTGCTTTTTACCCGTAGATTATTGAGGATGCGTTCCATGATAATAAGAACAAAACTAGTAGAGGGGGTATCCAGCAGAACCAAACCAAGTTTGCTCAGCGTGATATTAGCAGCAAAGCTAAAACATATTTGTAGTGGAAGCCATTTAGATGAATAGTGGAAGCCATATTCCATAGTGGAAGCCATATTAGATGAATACATAAAAGGCTGCAAATGCCTCACATGTACAGTATATTCAGAAATTAAATTGTAATGAGTCAGTGTCTGAAGTAAAATATTAAAATGAAGAGGTCAACATATTTTTAATAGATTAAGCTTAAATAGAAATTGTCGACTTTTCGTATCGACTTTCGCGAAAAAATTTTCATTGGTCACCGAAAATTAAAAAAATGCGATAAGTACGGAATTCCATCTAATTGATCAATGAGAAGCGTTCGTTCCAAAAGGAGGAAAAGTGTTCAAAACAAAATGTTACTACAAGCTTGTATGCTTATTCACAGCACACATCTATTGCGCTTTCAAGTGACCGACCAAGAAAAACAAATAGAATTTAGGCCTAAAGTTAAAAGCCTTATAAAGTGATCGGTCGAATCAGACGTGCCCACGAACTTCACGCCTCCTATTCTGGATGTTGTTGGTGATCGTAAAATAAACTCTAGTTAGGATACATAGAAGTCCCGGTAAAACTCGTGGTATTTTCATTCCCCTACTTGGTTAATAGACGCTCAATGTGAATCACCTTTGCAGCGTACGTGAGCTGCGAGCAAAACTAAACAGTGCAAGAAATGCCCAAGACGGATGTTCGACATCTGAAGAGTTTATAAGACATCTTTCCGAAGTCGCTGCTGGAAGAAATGTTAATGAAACATGAATTTTTGAGTCAAGTTTTGGAGAAATAAGTAGACGGATTATAGTTATTTTTCAGGGTATAAAGGAGCAAAGATGAAATCACTGTTCATCTACACTTTGTGGATGCATGGCGTAGAATCTCAATGAGATTTGAAAGCTTTGTCGGGGCCACAATTAAGGTAAATTTCAACCGAGCTTGCCACTTGCCCGCTTTAAAGGAAGAATGAGGATTTCTTATAATTAGAAGAGGTGTTATCAGAGTGCTCAGGTTTATAGCAAATCACAAAATGAAAAGGTACAAATCTCCACAATTCACAAAACTATAAGAAATATATTGATTGCGATTATTGCGACATACTAAATGAATCTGACAGAAAGACACAAAAATTAAGATCTCACCTCTAGTCCAATCAAAACTTCTTGGCACAGCGAGACCGGCAGATCTTCTTCAATTGCAACTACCACTCCTTCGTAGCCACTCTCCCGCAGTGTCACTCCAGTCTGTCGCCGACACATCACTACAGATCGCGAAATAAGTAATAAAAAACATACCAATAAACTCGACTTGAGAGAAGCCATTGTCAGTGAGAAATACAAGGATGTCAGTGCTGAAATTCAAAGATGAACACTAGGAAATACCAGTTCGGATCAACGTCGTCTAAGTTATTTAATATCACGCATGTTTCCGCGAACTCCTTCGACACAAGTCAGGTCTGGTACTCCTACACTGTTATTGATGTTATGGGACTAATCGCATACGCGTCTAAACTCCAACGTAAACCCTAAGGGCATACAAGCGTGCGGTGGTAAGGTTCTCTCACGCGGTCAAGAGCTTCACGCACGTACATACAACCTCCACACAGGCTCGGAGTAAACTGAGGCTGCCACCAGAATCCGACCTGCGGTCGGTCCGCAACCACAGATTTGCTCTCAAGATTTGGTGTACGACAACTGCTGCTATCGAGGCGCTCTTTTTGACTTGACACGCACTGCTGACGTAAAATAAATGTTGCACCTATGCTGCCAGATTCTACTTGTGATTGACTAGTTATTTTTTCAATTGCGATTCCTTGGAGAATCATGGAGAAAGCAATTATTTTTTATTTCTAAATGGGCTCGTGAAGGCTGCATATCGAAGTATAGAAGTTATGAAAAAGATGTTATGAATTTGATGTAATTTTAACTAAAAAAATATGTATCCCAAAATCGGTCATAGCGATAGTTATTAATAATCGATTCTGATCGGTCCTTCTGCAAAAGAAGGAAAATTAGTCTAATAATAGTCACGCAATGAGTAACGCTTATGAGACAGAATTGCAAGTTAAAATATAATCTCAAATCCCCGGAGCAATTTAAAAAAGGGGTTTCTTCTGTGCTTTCGCCATTTTTTATTTTGACACTGCACTATTAATTAATAAAATAGAATTTTCCAGTTCCGAATACATTTCTGTCATCTCAATAAATTAGTTATTGTCATCAAAAGATTTATTATATAATTTTAAGTCAACATTTTCCTTAAACGAGATTGGTTGATCATTAACCTTCTAAATTTACATATTATTAATAAAAGAAACCGTCTGAAATTTGTGTGAGTGCTTTTTGCAATGATATCGAATAAGTGACGAATATCATTCATAATTCTGAAGCGATGTGAATGAAACCAAGCGCATTCTTAAAATTGTAAACACTCCGCGTCGTGATTTTGCTTGCACTTTTGGTCCGTTTGCAACTAAATCGGTAAAAGGCAAATTTCTGTAACTCGATCCTTGAAGATTAGTTGCTCCTGGCAACGCAATAAGAAGTAATTTACTGCTTATATTGCGGTATTTTTAGCGCATTTTCTCATTTATGGAAAAAATGCACTATTGTGCTCGCCATGTCCGTCTGTCTGTCCGTCCGTCCGTGACCTCAAGTTATCGTCGACGAGAAAATGCGCTCTCTGTCACTCACTGACACAGGACTGAACCTAATATAAGGAACCTAATATAACGTCTTCATTTGGATTACAGAATATATTTAGATGTGAGTAAGGCATCGTTGCTCAGCGGTGTTAAATAAAATATCATTGCACGCAGATCTGTTAAGCATTTTAATGGTTATACGAGTATGAATTTCGACTTTATGAGTTTATTCATCTGTTATTACTGATAACGGATGTAGGTCATAATTTTATGACGAACTTCATAGTTGAAGGGTTTTTGTTATTTCAAAATGGTTCTTGTTATTTCAAAGTGGTTCTTGTTATTTCAAAGTAGTTCTTGTTATTTCAAAGTAGTTCTAGTTATTTCAAAGTAGTTCTAGTTATTTCGAAATTGTTCCTGTTATTTCAAAATGGTTCTTGTTATTTCACAGTAGTTCTTGTTATTTCGAAGTAGTTCTTGTTATTTCAAAGTAGTTCTTGTTATTTCAAAGTAGTTCTTGTTATTTCAAAATGGTTCTTGTTATTTCAAAGTAGTTCTTGTTATTTCAAAGTGGTTCTTGTTATTTCGAAGTAGCTCTTGTTATTTCAAAGTAGTTCTTGTTATTTCAAAGTAGTTCTAGTTATTTCAAAGTAGTTCTTGTTATTTCAAAGTAGTTCTTGTTATTTCAAAATGGTTCTTGTTATTTCAAAGTAGTTCTTGTTATTTCAAAGTAGTTCTAGTTATTTAAAAGTAGTTCTTGTTATTTCAAAGTGGTTCTTGTTATTTCAAAGTAGTTCTTGTTATTTCAAAGTGGTTCTTGTTATTTCATAATAGTTATTGTTATTTTAAAGTAGTTCTTGTTATTTCAAAGTGGTTGTTGTTGGGTTTCCTAACGAAAAACTCCAGCAAACTTCGGTGAGTAAAAATCTGTCTTCTCAATGGTCTTAATAGTAGCGACACTCCCCTCGCTTGATCGACATGTTATCAGGACAGCTTCCTGTCCTTATTATACGACCTTCGTCAGAGGAAATACCAAAGCATTCACCTGTGCAGATATATAATATCCTCTTCTATCATCAGCCTCTTCTCTAATGGATTTTTATTAGGAATTTCAAAGCAAAAACAATACCACAAAAATTCATCTTATCTTCATAAGAGAAAACGTTTCGGAGTCCAGCTCCATCGTTAAGCAAACAAGTGGATTTTTATTCTCTTATGTATTCAATTTATGCACTTAAATTAGGTTATATATTTATAAAATAATATGCGTTAAAAAATTACTTTTTACAGACCTCACTTCTCAAGAGGCCAGTGTCTCCGATATTACACATGTACAAAGAATTTCTTGTTTTATTTTTAAATATTGAAAAAGATATTTTTACATTTGTTTTAATATATAAAATAATTAATTTTAAAAATGTTTATTCCGTCCCTTGATTCGAGCATTGTCTCTGACTTTACGCAAGTGTGCAAAATTTCAGATCGATTGGACAGGTAGAAGGGTGTTAAATGTCGATTATAAGATTTTTAGCAGACAAACAACAAAAAGTGAAGTAAAAGAGAAGTGTTGTAATAACTAAGTAATTTACCTTTGCAAATAATATACTCTCATCAGCCTCTTCGTTCGATTAATGGGTTTTTATTATTTTAGGTATATAATTTACCACTGAAATTCAAATTCTATATTTAATGAATTTCAAAATAAGATTTATATAGAATTTTTACGTTCTCTTGGGTTTCCGGGAGGCCTCAATCGTCGTTTTTTCTTGCTCTGCAGGTCAACGATGATTGAGAAAAATCCATTCAGTTAAAAATAATTACAGTGCTTCATGGTGAACTGAAATCTATGTGAATAATCAATAAAATAGGCTTTGATTTCTTAAAATTAAATTTGGTTTTATTAATATGAATAAAGTTGTCGATTTTGAATTGGTTGGTGGTTCACGGCATTATATGTCGACTGGTCAGACAAACAAAAAAAGTTTTTTCCTTGTAAGCAAATAAAGAAAGTCAGCCGTCAAAAACGTCGCCAGAAACACCGGCTGAAAACAGTGTGTTGGCTTACAGACGGGCGGGGTTTTCGGGTTTCGCGGGTGAATGAGATTAGGGCTAAGCCATAACGCTAGACCGGACACTGATCGTAAGTGCGTGGCAACATCTTACCGAACATGAAAACTATGATTATTGCAAGATCTTTGAAGCTTAAATATAAAGTACAAGATGAATTATATTTATAGTTGCAAATATGTATTGGAGAAAGTTTTATTAAATGATAACGAAAAATGTTGTGATATATCCTATCCGATTTTGCCAGGGACGCACTCGAGCTGTCATGCTAGGCTGAATATCTGCAACGTGTCACTCAACTTCCATGCTGGTGAGAATATCGCCGAGCGATCTCGAGGTGTTGGAAATCGGCGAAAGTTGGGCGTGTGACCATCGGTACGACGATATAACGACTGTGACAAGGACTCATAAGTGGCGGTTGTAGAATAGTGGGAACTGTTGTTTTGTTAATGTAGCTTGTTCCTAGCAAGGCATCGCGCGATATAGTACTTCATTTGTGTACTCATGGTCTAAAATATGCCGGAACGGCCATCTTATCAAGTTATCATGAGAGGTAACTAAATTACAGTTGATATTCACACTACTGCTTAGTGGCCTCCGATAAAACTGTTGGAAGGCTTGAGTTGTTGACGGGATTTATACGTTGAAAACGGGGCAGAAATCGTGAGTGTAGTTCTTGTCATTAAATGTGCGTGGATTACTCTGACACTGCGATGGCGGTTTATTTGGCTATGCCAAGTTTTTAATTCTACTTGAAAAAAGTTATATACGTACTCTTAATTAGTACATTACGCTCGTCATTTCTGCACTCGAAAAAATGGAGTAAAATCAGCACCCAAAATTATTTTTGAGTGCCTGGAGATTCTCTTATCCAAAAATAGATTCAACTCTGAAGACACGAAAAGTAACTAACATAACTAATATAACTAACACAGCATGAATTATAAGCAAGCTTCAGAAGATAATTCAGATTCGAGATTATGTGTTGAATATTATTAAGTGCAAGAACGCGTTGGTGAGCGTAGAGCAAGGCACACAAAATGCCAGATGAGACCAGATATTTTTTCGCTCCGGTGGTTTACCAAACGTGTGCCAGCTTCCAGGGCGAGGAATATTCTTCACCGAAGCCTCGAAGGCATGAAAAATCGATAAGGTCCACACAAAACACAAGGTGTGGCCAATTTTATATAAAAGCTAGCGGGTGAATTGTGACGCTCGGCTGGTCATAGCAATTATGAACGCGAAAAAAATTGGGTGCACATCGCTGGCTGTGGTTTCTTCGAAGGGACCTATAGAGGTGACTTGAAGTTGAGGTCCGTATGCATAAAGCCTGTCCACTTCAGTCGAATAAAGTACATGAAATGTTAATAAAAAACCACTAGTGTCGCTACTTCTCATCCTTGAAGTGCTTCTACGCATGAATAATTTTTAAAAGAAGTCTTCATAAATAAAGAAGAAGTCAGAATGGCTTTGTGAATCAGCGAAAAGGAAAAAAATCCTGATGGTCATATACTGAATTTTTCGATATTAAAAGAATCACCATTTAAAGCCTGTTATTCACTATTTAATTTTTGTAACCTGGTTATAACCCGGCTTTGATGAATTATTGTGAACTACAAAAAAAAAAAAAACACCCAGGAATTCAGCTTTCTTTTTGAAGGGTTGGATTCTATGGTCAAATATTAGATGAAAATCGTCGAACCTGAGAGGTTGTTGAAGTGATGAAGCTGTTGCTATAATGCATTAAATCCTTCCCTTAGAAGAAGCACTCAGTTCTGGCATGGTGGATACAAGGGATCACCTGTGATCCAATTAGCTGGAGTAGCTCAAGCATCATCGATATGCACGAAGCTTATTATGACCAAACCGATAAGTCGCAGGGAATTAAGGAGTTGAGCGATCTATACTGGTGGGCTAC